ATAATATTGAAACTGGACCCAGCTATAATGCTGTGTACACATTGTAAGCGCTATCTCCCTGGCAACTCTTTTACTCAGTATGCATTATTTATATTATTAGATTATGGAATATTTGGTCTGAAATAACATTTCACCTATAAAACAGATGGCGGGGTTTCAATATAACCTGCTTTCATGTAAGAGAGGGACAAAATTAATCAGAAGGCTTCCTGCTTTATAATTCAACTTGTTAACTGTTACTTCAGAAATTCCCATTCTAAGGACGCTGGTTAATGCATCAAAGAATAGATCTAAGACCTATTGGGATCAATGTTTGCTTGCACAATCAAGATGCCTTTGGGAACTGCGCAACAAGACATGCAGGTAATGGGTCTTTTTTTTTTTACCCTGGTTCTCCATCTTTATATCTTGGAGTTCATAAAGAGTGATAGCAGACAATAAACTTTTCTTGAAAATATGTCTCTATTGCTATTAAAAAGTCATTTTATTGAAATATTGTCAGATTTTGTGGCAGTAAATATATAAGTTAACATGTTTGTGCAGAAGTATTTCCTTTTATTTCTCTATCATATTCATAAAATGAAGTGTTAATGTTACTAAACTCTTAATAAACCGAGTTCAGAAAAAAACTTGCCATAGAGACAATTCCACAATGGCTCTTCAGTATTATTGTTTGTATCTAAACAAGCAGCTTCTATTCAGTTCTGGCTCAGTTAGTAGTGTTTAGATCATTAAAACAGTTTTGACTTAGATGTCTGAATCATAGTGCTAGTTTTGTCATGGTCTAATCAAGAGATCCATTCAGAATGATTTTTGCTTATAGAAGCTCAGAGTAGTCTCCATTAAAAATATTTTAAAATGCATTCACATCTTTGCTTCCTGTGAGAAGCTTCTGGTTATTTTAGGAATGCAGGTAATCGTCACGTTATGACCACAAGAGATCAGACTTTCAATTATTAAGCAAAGCAGTTGTTAAGTGAGTCATGTTCGCTTTTACTACCTTTTTGCCATGGTTGTTAAGCAAATTACTACAGTTAAATGAATCATATGGTTCTTGAGCAAATGTGGCCTCCACCATTGACCTGGCTTGTTGGAAGCTAGCTGAGAAAGTTGCAAATGATATCAAATGACTGCAAGATCCTGTAGTCATCATAATTCTTGCTGGTTGCCAAGTGCCCAAATTTTGATCACATGATTATGGGGATATTGTGACAGTCGTTAAGTATTAGAAACACTTCTAAGTAACCTTTTGTAATGTTGTAACTTCAAACAGTCGCTAAATGAATGGTTGTAAGTCAAGAACTACATTTTTCCAAATGTGACTGATAGTATCTTTTAATGTTAGCTAGTGCCTCATAAACTGGGCTTCATAATTTTCCAGCCTCAATATCTTCATAAACATAGTTTCAATATCTTCATAAATGATTTAAATGAGGGGGATAGAAGGAGGACTGATCAAGTTTGCAGACAACCAAACTATCAAGAATAGCCAGCACTCCAGGAAATAGGCTCAAGATTCAGAATCTTGACAGACTTGATGCCAACTTTCAAAATGACTTTGGCTGAAATTTCATTTTCTTCGTTTCTTAGTTGCCATGGAGGAGGGCCTGTGGGATGTGGGGTATTTCCCTATGCTGCAAGACATAACGGGGATAAGGTCCATGTAAACCAAAGTCATCTCAACAAGCACTAGTAATAGCCGGAGGAGCAGCTGAACAGCCTGCCACCTATTGGTTAACATCATCTATGAACAGTGGTGGGATTCAAAAGTTTTTACTACTGGTTCTGTGCGTGGCTTGGTGGGCGTGGCATCACTTGGTGAGCGTGGCTTGGTGGGCGTGGCAGGGGAAGGACACTGTAAAATTTCCATTCCCATCCCACTCCAAGGGAAGGTTACTGCAAAATCCCCATTTCTTCCTGATCAGTTGGAACTCAGAGGCAGGGAATAGATGGGGGCGGGGCCACTCAGAAATGATATTTACCGATTCTCTAAACTATTCAAAATTTCCACTACGGGTTCCCCAGAACTGGTCAGAACCTGCTGAATACCACCTCTGCTATGACACAGAGGGATGTCTATTTGTTTAATTATACTAAATCACGGATCTTATTTAGAGTTGGTTTCACATTTGATTGTCGATATGATGTATTACATAAAATAAATCTTTCAGAAAAGCTACAGCCTGAGAATTCAGAATTGATTGGGACCACTACTCAGAACCATGACATTTGAACCTTAGGCCCTATCTAACAAAATGAAATTCAGTGGTGAGAAAACTAAAATGTTACACTTAGGCAAGAAAATCCAAATGCACAGGTATAAAAAAAGGGGTACCTGGCTCAATAGCAGTAACTGTGAGAGAGATCTAGGAATCCTAGTAGACAAAAACTTAAATATGAGCCAACACTATGCTGCAGTTGCTAAAAAAGCCAATGCAGTGCAAGGCTGCATTAAAAGAGAAACAGAATCCAGATCATCTGAAGTTTTAGTAACAATTTGTAGTGCCTTGGTAAGACTGTGTTTGGAATATTGCATCCAGTTTTGGTCATCACGATATACAAAAGATGTTGAGACTAGAAAGAATGCAGAAGAAGAGCAACAAAGATGAGTAGGGAGCTGGGGGCTAAAATATATGAAGAATGGTATATGAACTGATTATAACTAGTCTGACATGATAACAGTATTCCAATATCTAAGGGGCCACCACAAAAAAGAGAGGGTCAACTTATTCTCCAAAGCATCTGAAGGCAGGACAAGGAACAATGGATAGAAACTAATCTGTGAGAGAAGCAACCTAGAACTAAAGAGAAATTTCCTGGCAGAGCAATGAAGCAGCATTAACGGTTGCCTTCAGAAATTGTGGGTGCTCCATTCCTGGAGGTTTTTAAGAAGAAATTGGACAGCCATTTATCTGAAATGATATAGGATCTCCTGCTTGAACAGGAATCCAAGGTCCCTTCCAATTTTGTTATTCTGTTATTCAGCCAATATTTCAAAGTTTCTGGAGGGACCTGCATTAGAATGCATTTTGTTTGTTTTTGAAGAAAAAATTCAAAAAGGAAGATTTCCCCATTTTTGTTTCTGGTCAGTGGGGATATTTTACATAGAAACCAATGAATTGGCTCTGTTTATAACCTTTTACCATGACAAACATGGTTTTCTTATTTTATTTCCACAACATTCCTATAAACAGAACATTCCTTCTGCAACGACTGCGGGAGGTGGGGGTGGGAGGCGCTGTTTTACAGTGGTTCTCCTTTTACCTCTCGGACAGGTCGCAGTCG